GAAGTGGTGCCTAACCCTAAAAGGCTTAACAATGTGTCTGTGGCAGCTACAGCAAAGCAGGTGGGAGCTCTGTGGTGAGTTATTTAGACAGGTATTTTCAACAACATGATGGTGATAACTCCTTATTTGCATAGCACTTTACCTTCAATCATATCAAGGCACTGTCTAAAGAGTGGCATCTGTACTGCTAGTGGCTAAGACAGGGAAACTGAGGCACTGAGTAATTAGCTGTTGGCCATGGGCGAAACTGGGAATAAGCGGCAAAATGTCTCCAAATGCACTAACTTGTGATCTAACCCCTACAGAACATTATTTTTTAAAACCATCATTATTTCTGGGGTGGAACCGAAAAAAAAATGGTTCCAGATTAGAAAAAGAGGCATTGCAGTGTCCCAGCCAATGGCATGGTGTGAAAGTGTTGTTACAACACGGAGGAGTTATCGATGCTGGGAAGGTGGAATATACCTGTAAGTGCCTGCCAAACCCACACATGGCTGAGATTGCCAGAAAAGGGGTTCTGAAGAGGGCTGACTTGGAGATAAATCAACAGGGAAAACAATGATTGTCTGTCTTAATCGCAATAAAAAAAAAAAATCCTGGAATTGAGCTACCGTTCACCTGAAGTTAACTACAACTTTGATCCGTTTACGACAACCCACACTTCCGTACCTTCCTGTTTGTGCCATCATCTGCCTTATATTATAATGGATGTTGTAAAAATTTGCTGCATGAAGGAGATGACGTGTTGCGGAAGAACAGCACGCAGAACCTTTACCTCTGCAAGCTTGCCTAAGTAACAGCTCGACTTCCCACAAGAGTGAAGGTGACTAATGTGATCTACAGCCAAGCTGAAACATCCAACTAACTGCAGGCAGTAACGTGCCCTTTACAGTGTTTAGTGCAGTGAACTAAAGTAATGCAGCACCAAGAGGCACAGCAAAATCACAAAGGGTCAAAAAATTCAGAAATTAGGGTTTCAGGGGCAACATCAGCTCAGACAGGTTGTAAGCCCTGGTTACTGGGTGGTAGACATTTGACAACAGGGATCAGTCATGAAATCACTGACAGAAACAGATGCAAAATGTAGCCGTGCTCTTGGGACTTCTGGATTTCCTTGCTAGGGACTAAACAACAGCAGGCCTATAACTGGCAACACAGCAGGTGAGGACGGAGAGGGATGAAGACCCTCCCATAGCTACTGTTGGCTGCAGAAGTGCCAGCCTGCACTGCACAGGGCAGTACCAGTGGTCTCCCCTGATACAAATCAACCAAAATTGGATGGGGAAGAGCTGGCCATAGGCAGAACCATGGTCTTCCTCTACACGCCAACCTCATAGCAAGGGAGCTTGGGGAAGGGCAGAGAAGGAAACGTGGCACCCGTCCCTGAGCACATCCTCCAGGCTCCAGGAGACCTGCCTCTAGTGATTCTCAGAGGATATTCAGCTCTCCAGTAATCCAGAAGACAGGCTATGCTACTGCTGGTAGCCTTTGGTGATTTTGGTTGCTGCATTCAGCCAGTGAGTGGGTCCAATTCCATTTCTTGTTGTCATGAAATATTTATTAAAGTATTTTAATGGGTCCAACTACTCCTTAAAGTGCACGCCTCAGTGAAGGGAATGGCCCAAAGGAGGTTAAAATTCCCCGCTTTGCTGCTACTCGGATATGGCTGGAAGGAGTCGCCCACCTCATGGTGGCCATATTCCCACCTGACTGTTCCCGGCCTGGCACCTCACGTGATTTACATCGGTGAATGTTGCACCCATGTGACAGGGGAGCAGCCAGAAGAGAAGAGCCAAGCATTTTTTTAATAAAAAAGACATGTCCAAATCTGCAGGCTGTTGTAAATTGAGGTAACATTGCAAGGAACCGGAGATCCACTTTATTCCCTGTTCCAGTGATTTTCTCCTATTTCTAATGATAAGGCTGGTGCGAATGTTGGAAGGATTTTGCCCTGTATGTTCCAATGCAATATTTACATTCCTCATTGTCCAGCCCCTGTGCCTGTTGGGAGGGACGGGGAAAACACAGAGTCAGGCCACAAAAGAGGTAAAGGTATGGTAAACTGTAAGAGAAATAGAATAGACTTTTATAATAGAACTATAATAGACTTTTCTGATTACTCATCATTCTTATATTTCAGTGCCTTTTCTCTAAACCAGGCTGGGGGACTAGTCCTCACTGAGATCTACAAGGTAGATCTTGTCAGTCTTACCCACACAAGGAGTCCCACTGGAGTCAACGGACCTTTCCATGTGAATACATTTTACCAAAGCCCTATTAATAAAAAAAAAAAAGAAGTGGTGAGTATTTAATAGTAAATGCACTATCTGTCTCCCCATCAACTTCAGCACATGCAGATTCAGACCCAAACTGACTGGAGCTCCGATTCTGCCACCCTTGCTCAAATTAACACTTGCCTTTGACGAGGCAACCTCTTTAGGCCAGATGCAGTCGTTCTTAAGCAGACTTGAGTCCACAAGAATACATGTGTTTCTGTAGGACTTTTTGCAAAGCGAGGTGCTGCTCGGGATGAGCAAAAGCTGCCGAGTTTGGCCTGCGGCAGTCAGGAGGAGCACTTGAAGAAGACGGCACTGTGTTTTGCAAGTAAGGTTTCAGAACTGAGCCTTTTGAGCCGTCCTCTGCAACATTTTTACGCCTATGCAGAATCTCATTCTTTGAGAAGTCCCAGTGCCTTCAGAGGCTGTCTCAGAGCCTGGCCCTTAGTTACTAAGCATAACAAGAACTACTTAGGAAACCGTTCCTGCTGAGGTACATTCACTTCTTCCCCCCTAAGAACAGGATCGAGAACTAACATAATTTACTTCCCTTGCACCAGCTTTCAGGTCACAAATAAAAGGTCCAAAATATGCTTCAACAGTCTTGTGGTACCTGCACTTTGCTTCTTCACGTTGACTCAGGTGGACAAGGATTGTCCGCATGAGTAAGGGGGCAAAACTGGGCTTTTGCAGGAATGGTAATAAAAAAGAATAAAACCCAGGGCAAAAATCTGCTTCCTGAGAAGCCCAAAAATCTATTCTTTGTGATCTGTCAAACCTCTGCATCAGTAAGACAACCCCCTCTCTCTGCAATATTCGGTGTTGCTTAAACTCTCTACAAAAATTATTTCTTCTTTGTAAACATGATCCTACAAAATGTACTTCTTCTGTGTAGATACGATCCTAGAATGGTTAGAACGATCCTCTACCACATGTAACCAAATTTGCAGCTTTGTTATTTGTTTTACAAATCAGCAGTGGACTTAGCCTGTGAAACCAGTATACCTTCATTCCACACTCGTTTTGCATGTTACTTAATTTCCTTGTTTAAATAAAAAATTACGTCTATTAAGATGATTTTGAATTTAAAGAATGCTGCGCCTATGAAATAAGTCACTTCCTTCAGTAAACAACTTGCTGTTTTTGCCATGCTAAGAAGATATCCCGGCTGCATAGAAAGCCATCTATTTGGTTACCAGCCCGTCTTAGTTACATGCTGGATATCCAGATGCAGAGGAAATGTTACTTGAGGTCTGAAATATTAAAAAAAAGCCCATTTCAATGTGTTAACGTGCAGAATAATTCATGCAAGTAGCACCAGGGAGGGAGAAATACCTCTCGCTGAAGAGGTTTATAGAAGTGATTAGTGCTAATAAAAACTTTCCTCCAACAAGGATTTTTTTTAAATTGTTTTTTAATATGCTTTTAATGACCTCTATTCCTCATACCTACCTCTTTGCTTCCAAAACTGTTTGTACTGTCCCCAATAACACTCAGTGGAAAGCTGTCAGTCCTGGCTAAATCCTTACTTAGGTTGGATGCTATGCCTCCGTTAGACAAGGTCAGGAGGTCACAATCGATTTTGGAGGCCACCTGGAGAGTCCAGGCCATGAACTGACTCAAAAAATTTATATCAGAGCTGGAATAGCCCACCTCCCAGGGCTAGGCCCAGCCTAGCACTCCAACTGCAGGATGGGGCCTGCCAGGCCCATCTCGGAAAGAGGCCAGAGTTGTTGACCCTGTTTGCTGACCTCTTCAAACTTCAGGAGAATTTTTCTGGCAGTTACCACGGTGACTGGGCACTCCAAGCTTATCCTTCTTACTGAAAAAAAAAAAATTAAGAAGAAAAAAAATGTTAAAACCTACCTTGCAGAGATGCCTATCAAGAATCAAACACGTAAATGTTTTAATTGTTTGCTTCTTACTTGGGCCACTCCAGCATTAACTATTTTATTCAAACCCTACCGTCAAGAAGGCAGTCAAGCTAAAACAAAAAAAAAAAAGTTTGATCTGGTATACAAGAATGGTATACAAGACATGTTGAGTAAATGGCATTTTTTAAGCATCTGTCAGTGGTCCAAAGTGATGCATCAAGGGTTTTTGTAGGGAAGAATGACATTTGTTGGGTTTTTTTTCTATATCTGTCCAGCAAATACCAATATTAATTCCTGTTCTATAAACTGTGGGGGGAGACGGGGGGAAGAGTGGAGGTAGCTAGATTTGCTTGGATCAGTAGGTTTCGAAAATATTAGACAATGTTTTTTATGTAGAAAACATGTAATCTGTTTAACTTATAATGAATTTTACTTAGGGAAAGGTAAGCGTTCTGGTCAGACTTTGTTACTGGTATGTCTTTAAAGCACCTTTCACACTAATCATGTCAAAATTAACATTTACCCATTAGCAAAATATGGGGGAGGGGGGAATGGTTTAACTAGGGTATGCCAGGGGCAGCAGAAAAATAAAGTGTGTTCATTATTTATAAAACACTGAACAAGCAAAAACAGTGATGTTATTCAGTTGTCTCAACAGTATCACATTATCCACGAAGCTTACACGTAAATGTGTTTTAAACTTCAATACCGGGCACAGAATCATGTACACAAGACAGTAAAAAATGGCACACATATCGGAGAGGGGGAGAAAAAAATCCTACTTAAAGGCTTCTAGTGGCAAGCTGTCAATCAAAATTCCTAGTTTGTTATGAACGACTCGTTTCTGGAGTAGGGTTAAACAGAGGTTTAATGATTGCAAGTTTAATGTTGTTTTGTTTCGCACGTGGTTTTGAAGTATCTTTTGTTGCCGTTGTTTGAAGAGTAAAATATGAATATTCAAATTGTTGCTTAACCGCTGTTATGCATTCATTTAAGGTTCTTCTTCCACTTCTGATGGTGATAAGGCACTGGGTGTAAAGCTGAAGAGGTTTCTTCAACGCCGGGATATCCTTTGGACTCTAGGGGTGAAAAAGGAAGGAGATCTGTGTCTGAAAAGCATGAGTTATACAATAAACTAGAATATCTTTTGTCCCAATTCCATTTTTCATCTGCACTGGATTAAAAAAAGAAAGCAGCAGCAGATAGGCAAGTGACATAAAAATTAAGGCAAGAATTTTAAAAGCTTGCTTTCAACATATCCCCTTTTCTTTCTGAACCTAATTCAACTGCTTGAAAATAGTCACACCGAGAATACCATAAAAACACATTTGACAATTTTCTAGCACGGGGTAATTTTTTAAATTCATAATTAAGAAAACAAACCCCGTCAGGATTCCTTGCCTGAGAGGATTTTTTATAGAAATGACGGGGGGAGTGATGCAATGTATGGACTGTATTTTTTGGTGCGGAGGTGCGGGGCGGTTTCATTTGGGTTTGGGCCTTATTTTTTGCGATGTGCCTGCAAGCTGAAACAACGGAGCAACTGATTAACCGGCCGGAGAGAAGAAAGGACACTAGTGTTTGGTACATTTTATTGATTGCATTCTTTGGACTAGCACTGTCCATATAAACATGTGTCTCTCAATTAGATAGCATGATTTATGAAGTCATGCTCTGACCTAGCCAGGCGGGTGGCTCAGACTGGAACTATGATGCCAACTCATTCCCTGGTGATAAACACTGACTGTCCTTCCTGCAGCCAGGCACCCCTGGCAGCCTTATTAAAAGACCTTGTGGTTGGCAGAGCGCTGAGCAGGAAATGAGGTCCTCTCCGGTTTAGCTCAGAGATGACTGGAGGTACAGAGAGCTGTGAGCGAGGCCAGGAGCTCCTGACTCACTAAGTTTTTCACTGCAGGGCACCTTGCAGTTCTCAGGGGGATCTGGGCCAGCACCCTGCATCCCTTGGCCCCCCCCCGATCTCCCCCTGACCTCACTGGAGTTCAGTTTGAATCAGGAGAATAAGGGAAATCTTTTCTTTATAGGATGGAAAGCCAGGGGCTTTTTCCCATCCAAGAACCTCTGCTCCCTGGCTTTGTGCTCACCACCTTGCCAGCTGGGTGGGGAAGGCTTCCCCTGCTCCCCGCATACAATTTCCTATACTTTGCATTCGAGGTCTGCTAACTGTGTTACACCAAGCACCCATCTCTGCAGCGTGGGGAGCCCTTTGTTCGGGCTCTCTTCTTCAGACCCTGTCACCTCTTAGTCCCTGGAAATCAGCCAGTCTCTGAGCCCCAGTGGGCAGCTGCACTGGCCCTTCCCGACGTGGCACGGGTATTTCGGGCCGTCCCCAGCATTTGGCCTCATGGGCTACTGAAACCCCTGTGCTGGGAGGATGGCACCCCAAAGGGATGACTCTCCCGTGGCAAGTCCCTGCCGGGAGATGGACAAACACAACCTGGATCATTGGGGGCTGAGATCATTGCTCTAAGAAACTGGAGGAGGGAGGTTATTTATTGAGGCGAATAAGCCCCCGCTTGCTCTGGCTTCGCAGCAGGCTGGGGAATGAGATCAAATCCAGTGCAAGTCTGTGCAGCACATGGCCAGGATCCTGCCTGTGTCCTTAAGGGTCGGTACCTCTGTGGGTGCGGGCAGTGCAGGGTGAGACCTCAGCTTGGATACTTGCATACAGTGCAGCGGTAGCCCCTGGCTTGAGATGTGCAGTGCAGCGGTACACCCCAGCTTGGATCCGGGTGGACAGTGCAATGCTAGACCTCTGCGTGGATACTGCGATGCAGTGTCCTCGGCTTGCATAGGTGCAGTGCAGTGATATACCTTGGCTTAGATATATACAGCACTCTTGGATACTGGAGTGCAGTGCAGTGGCATGCCTCTGCTTGGATACATACAGCACAGTGGCATACCTTGTCTTGGATACCAGTGTGCAATGCAGTGGTATGCCTAGGCTTGGATATACACAGTATAGTGGTATAGCTTTGCTTGGAGACAGGTGTGCAGTGCAGTGATATACCTCAGCTGGGATGTAGGTGTGCAGTGCAGCAGTATACCTCAGCTGGGGCACAGGTGTGCAGTGCAGTGGCACACCTAGGCTGGGATACGGGTGTGCAGTGCCATGGCAGGCCTCCGCTTGGGGTGGACCAGCAGGGCCCAGGAAGGTGCCAGTGACACTGCCCGGCATGCTGCCAGGGGGCAGACCCCCCTGGGGGAAGGTCCAGCCCATCCTGCAGCAGCCAGTGCTCCCCGGCCAAGGCCGGACCACACGTCTCTGCACCCAGGCCCTTTCCCTCCAGGCTGCTGAGCAAAGCTACCTGCCCTCGCCGCCAGCCACCCGAAAGCTCAAGCGCCGGCCGGGTCCTGACTTCTCCAACCACCCATCCGGCAGTCTCCAAGGTCTCCAAGCCAGTACGGGCCAGCTGTGAATGCCCGGGGGCTGGGGCCAGGCCAGGAGGCATCTCCCCCCGGAGACCCCCACTCCGCACCACGGGCCGACCCGGCAGTCGCCTCCAG